ACCTTAGTCTTCAAAAAACCCCAAAGAAAAAAGCCCAATGGTGTTAGGTCGCATGCTCTGGGCGGCCAATTCTGATCACCAAAACGGGAAATTACACGACCAGGAAATGACTCATGCAGTAATTGAATTGTTTCTCAGGCTGTATGGCATGTGGCACCATCTTGTTGAAACCACATGTTGTCCACATCCATATCTTGCAATTTAGGCACAAAAAACTGGATTATCATGTTGCAATAGCAAGCACCATTAACTGTTATTGCCTGAGCAGCCGCATTTTCAAAGAAGAATGGTCCGATGATGCCTCCAGCCCCAAATCCACACCAAACGGTGACACGTTGTGGATATTTTGCCCGATATGCTATTCCATACATAACTCTATACTGTATACTTTATGAATCAATAAAAACTTACAATTTTTAATTATAAACCCGTGTTTTCTATCAAAATTACTTCTTGCGTGAATTTTGGGACACCCTTTATAAATTGGGGTATTTGGATTGGAAACCCCTTTTTCTCTTTATTTCTAAAAGAAAAATAGAATTCACTTTTCATACTTATTTCTCATTAAACTTATAAATGAAAAGATGTACTTTTTTTGAAGGCTGGAAACAGGCAGTTAAATATGGTGATTGGAACAGTAGAAGAAGGAACTTTTTGAAAAATACCTCAGAAATTCATGTTCCTATTCCATAAATTTAGAAAATTTAACTATGGATTTTATTTGATTTGAGGTTGAAAGAGAAAACTTTTACTTAAAAGATTAGACTTGGTTCATAGGCAGTTTTTTAAAAAATTGATATAAACATAGACATTTATAAAATAATATTGGTAGCTAACAATGTATCAGATATTATGCTGAATATTGTACGTATATTATCTCATTTAATTCTCACACCCTGTTGAGGGAGGTACAGTTATATTTTACAGATAAGGAAACCAACGAATCTGGAAGTTAGGGCACATAGCTAGTAAGTGGCTAGGCCAGCACAGCGATCTATATCTGTCCTGACTTTACAGCTCAGACTCTTTAACAATGCAGTACAGTAGTCCCCACCTTATCAGCAGGCTACGTTTCAAGACCCCCAGTGTGGATGCCTGAAACTGCAGATAGTGCTGAACCCTATATACTATGTTTCTTTCCTATACATTATATACCTATGATAAAGTGTTATTTTTGAATTAGGCACATAAGAGATTGACAGCATTAACTAATAATACAATCAAACAATTAATATACTATAATAAAAGTTATATGAATGACTTTGGTGCCATTATTAAGTAAAATAATGGTTACTTGAAAGCACTGCAATATCATGACAGTCGACCTGGTAACCTCGTTGCTGACATGTGGGTAGCGAATACAGTGTGGATATACTGGACAAAGGGATTTTTCACCTCCCAGCTGGGACAAAGTAAGATTTATCACACTACTCAGAATGGTGCACAATTTAAAACTTAGAAATTTTTTATTTCTGGAATTTTCCATTCACTATTTCTGGACCATGTTTGGGATAACTGAAACAGTAGAAAGTGAGACCACAGATAAAGGAGGTCTACAGTACTGCTTCATATGCATGGAGTTGAAAACAATACTAGGAGACCGTGGTCTGCAACTAATTTCTGTAACCTTGGGCAGGTTCTCATTTTTTTCGGAGTCTTCGTATTTTAAAATGAGGAGCAATCATACCTACATTGTTTAATTGACAGAATCTTTGTATCAAATAAGACAATTTATATAAAAGTGCTTGTAAAAGTGATATATAGTTTTTGAATTAGTGTTTTCGTTTTCTTTGGCTAAATACCAGAAGTGGAATAACTGGGTCAAATGCTATATCTCTTTTCAAATTTTTGAGGACTCTCCGTACTGTTTTCTATGGGGACTACACCAATTTGCAGTCCCACCAGTAGGTCAGAAGGGCTCCCTTTCTCCATACCCTTGCCAGCACGTGTTCTTCGTTGACTTTTTGGAATGTCCGTCCTGACTGGTGTGAGGTGGTATCTTATTGTGGTTTTGACTTGCATTTCCCTGATAATTAGTGATGTTGAGCATCTTTTCAGATGTCTGTTGGCAATCTGTATGTCTTCTCTGGAGAAATGTCTTTTTATGTTCTCTGTCCATATGTAGTGGGGTAATCACATTTTAAGGTATAAAACTGTCAAATCACTATGTTGTACACCTAAAACTAACATAACAAATATAAGATTATATACCAACTATACTTAAAATGTAAAAACTTAAAAAAGTGATATAATGCAAGTAGAAGTTAGCGTGTTTTATTAATTCCATGTGGGAAAGTATAAAAGTGGGAAATTTTTACTATCCTAACATTCTCTGCTTGCTTTCAACAGAATAAAGGAAAAGTAGGCTTCTAAATATATAAATGTATTGACTTAAGAAAGGGACACAAACAGAGACTGTGTGTGTACGCTATATAATGTGCCTTAGCTAAATCTTCTGGGAGTTTTTCAAATGAAAGACATTAATGTGCAAACAAGTAAATTTGCCCTTCTTTTTCAAGTTCCTATTTATTTAGTGCCTAAATTGCTTATATGGTTGGTATAGGTTTAGTTGGAGCAGTATAAAATCTAATGGATTTTTTTTTCTTTTTTCTAAAATGAAGATGATTTGTCATTAATTCGGAAGAATAGAATGGCTCTCTTTCAACAGTTGACTTGTGTGCTTCCGATTCTGGATAATCTTCTAAAGGCCAATATAATTAATAAACAAGAACATGATATAATTAAACAAAAAACACAGATACCTTTACAAGCAAGAGAACTGATTGATACTGTTTTAGTTAAAGGAAATGCTGCAGCCAACATCTTCAAAAACTGTCTAAAAGAAATTGACTCTACATTATATAAGAACTTATTTGGTGAGTTTTTTGGTAAAATTATTTTAGAAATCCTTAGGATTATGTTCATCTTTGTATTTGACAAAAAAGTAAATAAATCCAATTAGCAAACTATGCTCCATAATTTTACATGTCCTAAAAAATTGATCTTTTATTGCCCAAGTAGTATGGCTAAATCTTTTCTGATAATATATATTTAGAATCTTTGTTATTCAGTAGATAGTAGGTAAAACAGGTAGTAGGTTAAGCAGTGCTGTATTTGGTAATGATGTTTTTTGTATATTTTTCTTTTCCTTAGTGGAAAAGAATATGAAGTATATTCCAACCGAAGATGTTTCAGGTAAAACAAAATGAAGACTTAAGACCAACATGAATTATTACTCATATTATTTCTTTAATGGGAACTAAAATAGAAATTCAATTTTGCTAAAGTTTTTTGTTTTTTGTTACTAGGTCTGTCTATGGAAGAACAGTTGAGGAGGTTGCAAGAAGAAAGAACTTGTAAAGTGTGCATGGACAAAGAAGTTTCTATTGTATTCATTCCTTGTGGTCATCTAGTAGTATGCCAGGAATGCGCCCCTTCCCTAAGAAAATGCCCTATTTGCAGGGGTATAATTAAGGGAACTGTTCGCACATTTCTCTCATAAAAGAAATATGGGCTATATGTTAGCCTGTATGTGAAAGTCTTCAAATAATTGTTGAACATTTGAAGCCATCTGAAGTAGAAAAGGAGTTACTGGTTCTTTCATTAGTAACATTTGTGTTCTATCCAAATGTTCTATACCAGAAATGTGGTTTCCAAAAAAATTAAAGTATTGTATATCATATTTAATCTTAATCTCTCTTATACAAAGGGAAGATTTATGTTTGGTGGACTTTATTAGTGTACATGTGTGCATATAGGAGAAATTAAGGAGTAAGTAGTCTCATTGCTATTATGTATCATTTCAGGAGTGACTGAATTTGGTATTTCTGAAAGCTTTGAGCACTACATGAAAGTGTAGTTTAAAAGAACTGGAAACCAGGAACTCTGGAGTTTATCCAAGTCATGATGCCAAATTCTCTTTGGTGTTTTTCATTTGTGTTATTAAATATCTTTCTTTTACTGGCAAATAAGCTTTTTCCTAATATGTGAAAAACATCCTAATAAAGTTCTTTGAAAAGATTACATGATCAAAAATTTTTTCTCTTAAAAAATAATTTTTATATGTCTTCTAAGTGTTATAAGGATTAAATGGGATAATATATTTAAGCATTGTTCCTGTCACATTGTAAGCACTCATATGCTAACTTAGCATTTAGACAAATTAGATAAAAGGAATTCATGAAAGAAATTACTAAGAAAAATTTAAAATTAAAATTCTTTTAGATAAAATTATTTGTCTAGTTGTTTTGTATAATCTATCTATATAAAAGCCCAGCAACTGTTACAGCAGAACGACCGGTCACTATGATGCGCACTGGAGGCGGGAACCTCTCCTGCCTCCATGGCAGTGCTAAGGAGTGGCAAGCCAAGCAGTAAGGAGCGATCAGGTGGGTGGTTAGGAGCAAGGGGTCCCAGATTGCAAGAGGGCACAGGCTGGGCTGAGGGACCCCTCCCCCCCACCCTGTGCATGAATTTTGTGCATCGTTCCTTGAGTATAGATATAATTTGAATTAAAATTTATATAAAAATTCTCAACTAAAATTAGATCAATCTGCAATGGATTTTCAAAAACTAGTATAGTTGCTTTGTTGCATAGGTGTTAGTGGGATGAAGAGGTGGAATATAGATAATCGTACGTATCTGTCTCCTTTTAGAGCCCATTCATATTAGACCTTCCCCAGATCTGGGTCTATGGCAGACTTTTGAGGCCAAGTGGAAAGACGGTATAATTTTAAAAGGTACATTTTTTTTCTTCTTACCCTACCTACTTTAGATCCCTTTACATAAAGACTGCAGTGGAAAGAGCAAACCTTTATCCTTAAATCTCTCTTGCCTTCATTTCCATCTTCATAGGTATGAGACTTCATGTCAGTGAGGGAAAGTTTCTTCTTGCCATTATAGAAGAAATATAAAGAGGGAATTAAATCCTTTTAGAAACTTCTCTCTACCGTTTGCTTAATAATAGCTACTGTATATTAGGATTCACTGTGTTCCAGGCATGGTGCTAGATTCTTTAAACAATTAAGATGTGTTAGGGGCTGAATTGTTCCCACACAAAATTCATATGTTGAAACCCTAATTCCTGGTAACTCAGAATGTGACTATATTTGGAGATAGTACCTTTAAAGAGATAGTTAAGGTAAAATAAGGTTACATGAGCCCTAATCCAATAAAAATTGTCCTTATAAGAAGAAATTAGGACACACATGCACTTAGAGGCCCATGTGAAGATACTGGAAGAAGATGGCCATCAACAAGTCAAGGTGAGAAGCTTCAGAAGGACCCAAATCTAACATCTTGATCTCAGACTTCTAGCCACCAGAACTGTGAGAAAATAAATTTCTGTTGTTTAAGCCACCTAGCCTGGCACTTTGTTATGGTAGCTTTAGCAAACTAATACAAGGTGCCAGATACTTCGGAACATATTAATTCTCCTTTCAACAACTGCAAAGTAAAATTTGAACAGGGATCTACTTGACTCCTTAGCTTGTGCTTTTGAAACAATTGTCCTATTAAGCAGTACTAATATTTTTAAAAATTACGTGGGCTGCCATCCCGCTTAAGAACTATAACTTTTGAGTACTATGGATTTGAGAGTTTATCTTAGTTTTATTTAGCTACTCAAGTTTTAATAATGTACAAGAACTTTGTGTTTTTTGCATTTAGTGAAAATACAGAGCATAAAATAGAAGTGAATGGTAATGTAATATTTTATCCACTTGCTGAATTCTGTATCTAGATTAGAGTGTAGGGTTTGCATTCCTTATCCTTTTTGCTCATAGTAATCGGTGTCATAACAGGTATTCATTATGTTGAGCAAATAGATGAATGTCAGATGTTTTGTTAGGTTTATTTATTGCCTTATTTAATCCTTAAAATCCTAGGAGACATGTTATCCCTTTTTTGTATATGTAGGAATTTAGGATTAGTGAAATGATGTAGATTGCTGGAGATAATAGATGGACTATGAATTGTATATGGTCTAGGTGGGAATGACTCCAGAACTTCCACCTTTTACAATTTTGGTCTGTTAAACCACACTTCAGTTTTTTACTTTCTTACTTATGTTTGGAAATAATGTGTCTTTATTTCTTTACCTTCTTAACATAAATTGGGGGAATTGAGTAATTTGTCATTTGTTAGGCTTCTTATTTTCACCTGGATGTTTCCAATGTTCTGTGTGAAGACAGCACAGGTACTGGGGCTCAACAGAGTTTTCTGTTCCCCACTAACCAATTAAGAGGCCCATGGACACAGGCAATAGTGGGTTGAAGACCTGCGGTGGGTGGGTAGGGGCTTGGAGGAGGTGGGTAAAGGGGAGAAAAATGGGAGGCATCTGTAATACTATCAACAATAAAAAATATATATTAAGAAAAAAAGAAGCCCTCTACTTGTTGACAATGGACAGCTGACTGCCTGCTTTGAAGACAGACCTAAGTTTTTTTCTAGAAGTGTAACATTTCACCTAGTATCTCCTACGATATGTAAAATAAGTTTACTGTGCATGGTAGCAGTTCTTAAATGTTTTGGTCTCGGATCTGGTTTTTACAGTCCCAAAAAGTTTTGAGGACCCCAAAGAGCTTGTGTTTATGTGAGCTGTACATATTGATATTTACCATGTTAGAAATGAAACACAATTTAAAAATACTTATGAATTCATTTAAAAATAAACTCATTACATATTTTGAAAAATAAAGCACTACACATTGCATGTTAAGGTAGCACTTCTTATGAAAAATAATTAAGATATTTAGTGAGAAGAATAGCTTTATTTTACATTTTGGCAAAGCTCTTTGATGTCCGGCTTAGTAATCTCTTGTAATATGTATTTTATTTTGGTTGAAGTTTATGAAGAAAATTTCAATTTCTCAGTGTGTATATATTTGGAAAAGGAACAATTTTTTAGATAATTGTGGATATTCTTTTTTTTTTATTCTTTATTGATGCTACCCCGCTGCCCCGAAACTTGACAAGTGTCAGGTAGCTCCTTAAAGGTAGTTGGAATGTGGAATGTGAAATCATATTAATGGTCTTTAAAATTTTTTTAATTAAAATTTAAAAATTTATTTTTATATTTTATAGTTTAGAATAATTTTAAGTTCACTCCAAAATTGAGCAGAAAGTACAGAGTTCCCCCTCTATTCTCTGTCCCTACATATGCCCAACCTCCCCCACTGTTAGCATCCTCCACCAAAACAGTACATCTGTTACAGTTGATGAACCTTCGTTGATACATCATTATAACCCAAAGTTAACAATTTGCATTTGGGTTCACTCTTGATGTTTTGATAGATATACAATAATGACATGTGTCCTTCATTGTAATATATAGAATAGTTTCATTGCTCTAAAAATTCTCTATCTCCACCTTTTAATCCCTCCCTCCCAACTAGGCCCTGGTAACCACTGATCTTTTTACTGTTCAGTGATCTTTGTTTTCTGCTATATTAAGATCCACTGGTGAATTTTTCACTGGGAATGGGTCTTACTTATGCATAATCTTATAACGTGTTGGTCATTTGGAAAATATTTGTTTACAGAATTATGCAAGATCTCCTACATGTTGACACATTTCATTACTCAGTATCTAAAAATCACATTTGTTCTTATATTATTAGGGCAAGTCCAAGTATTGGGAAGCTCTCAAGCTGATAGTGGTAGATACAAGTTTATAAAAATTTTAAATATTTTATTGACCTTTCACAGAGAGGAAGGGAGCCGGACAAAGAGCCAGAAACATCGATGAGAGAGAGACACTGATCAGCTGCCTCCTGCACACCCCCTTACTGGGGATGTGCCCGCAACCAAGGCACATGCCCCCAACCGGAATCGAACCCAGGACCTTTCAGTCCGCAGGCCGACGCTCCATCCACTGAGCCAAACCAGCCAGGGCCAAGTTTATAAAATTTTAATTTTTGCTGAAAAGCTTGATTTTTATCATTAGCTACAAACACTGTCAGTTGTTTTCTCAGACTCATTTCAACAGAATAACTGTCAAATATTTAATTCTGTCAGTATTATTTTATTTAAGGAAATATTACAGACAAATATATGCCAATAAATTGGACAATCTGGATGAAATGGATAAATTCCTGGAAGCAAAAATCTGCCAAAACTGAATCAGGAATAATCAGAGAATCTGAATAGACAGATTACAACTAGTGAAATTGAAGCAGTAATTTAAAAACCTAACAAACCGAAGTCCTGGACTGAATGGCCTCCCAGGCGAATTTTACCAAACATTCTAAGGACTAACACCTATCCTCCAATTATTCAGAAAATTCAAGAGGAGGGAAGACTCCCAAGCTCGTTTTTTGAGGCCAGCATTATCCTAATTCTAAAACCAGAAAAAAATTACAAAGAAAGAAAATTATAGGTCAATATCCCTGATGAACGTAAATGCTAAAATCCTCAACAAAATATTAGCAACCGAATCCAGCAATACATTAAAAGATCATACACTGTGATCAAGTGGGATTCATTCCAGAGATGAAAGGTTGGTACAATATCTGCATATCAATAAACGTGATATATCACAAGTAAAATGAATGATAAAAACGACATGATCCTATCAATAGATGCAGAAAAAGCATTTGATAAAATTTAGCACCCATTTATGATAAAAACTCTCAGCAAAGTGGAAATAGAGGGAACATAATACAAGCCACATATGATAAACCCACAATCATACTCAATGGGCAAAAACTAAAAGTATTTCCCTTAAGTTTGGGAACAAGACAGGAATGATCACTTTCACCACTCATTCAGCATCACAGGAGCTGGCCTTGGTTTTTTTTATTATTTCCAGTGACTAAGTAGTAAAGGCTGTTTCATTCTGGAATTCAGTATTAGGAAATCCACACTTAAGGTTTGTCCTTCACAGCCTTTGTCAGTAATAAAGGTGATTTCTATGTGATGCATTCTTTCACCCTTTATTGGTTTTGACTTGGGTAAAAGGTGTTACTTATTGGGCCCCACAAACCCACAATAGATTATGTTGCCTGGTTGATCTGTTGGGATAT